GGGGGGGGAGGGGTTGGGGTGGGGTGAGGTAAAAAAATTCAAAAATAATATTTAATTTTTTTATTTTTTATGTTTGAGGGGGGGGAGGGGGGGTGGTTGGTGATAGGGATAAAGATATATTTGGAATTTAAAAAATTTAATTATTTTTTGAATGGGGAGGGGCAGCTACGAGGTATGGGTAGAGTAAGAAAATTAATTTGAAGGATGAAGTAGAGTTTTGGAAAACCAAACATTTAAGCAGTGGCGGACGCAAGATTTTCATTAAAAGGTGTCAATGGTTATTTTCCTCCATATCAAACACACCCATAAATTAAAACGGTTGTGAGAGCATAGTGCTAAGTGTAACTTAATAAATACGATTGTTGAATCATGGTGAGTTATGGTTTTGATAATTAACAATTATGACCAACATGTTGTTTTGCATTGATGAAATGAGATCTCTTGCTTAGAAAATACGAATTAAATAGACGAAAATTATTTTAGAAAAAAGACATAAAATTATTAAAATAATAATAATATAAAAGACTAGAAAGTCATTTATGCGGTGATAACTAATCCACATATGCCTATTTCATCCTCCATATTAGTTTTGTGATGATAGTCAATCCACATGTGGCAATTGTGTAACTTTCATATTGAATAGATCTCTAGTCTCATAGATATGAATGACAATAGAGTGATGTCAGTGTGAATGTAGGAGCGGAGCAGTTTTAGATGTATGCAAATATAGAGTGGGACGAATCTAAACAACTTCTTATGATTATATCTGAATGTAGAGTGGATGCGGCGATACACTTGTAATTCACTTATAATTTTGCTCTTTCACATTAATATTGGGAAATAGTTGTATAATTTCTCACAAATAATTGAAACCAACCATACCAATCTTCATTCTTTTTTTTCTTTTTTTGCCTAGTTGTATAATTGCAAAATTTCCCCCATATTTGAACAATTATTTAGAACAAATTAGAAGTTCCTTATAATTGTGGATATTCAAAATCACATTTACCATACCTAATATAAGCTAGTTAGTGATTACTATATAAAATTTTATAAAATCTGATATTAACAAAAGCTAAAAAGAAAAAAGAGTGACAATTTAAAAAATTTATTAGATAAATATTAAAGTGAAAAAGGACGAATATATCCCTTATAACCATCGTAAATAGTGCCCTTCGTTATACTTTTAGTGCATAAATATTCTTATCATCCAGTGTATATACCATTTATACTAATGGTGATACACGTCTCTTAATCCTATCTGCTAATCTGAAATTTATTAAATTTCTACCAAAAATTAAAAGTCTCACCCAAACTAATTTAAAAATCCACCCAAATAAATAATAGCCACCACCTGCAATACTTCAGCTGCCTTCGCCTCTTTTGCCATCCTTTGAACCTCAAACTTCACTTTATTGCATATAGTCCATGACTTTATCAATTTATTTTCACATAAATACACACACTTAATAACTTTACTACCAAATTTAGGAATCAAACTTATTCCAATATAGTTACTGGGATTGTTTTGTATCTTGCTATTTTAATTTGTTGTCTTTTTTATATATATAATTGTGCGCCAAATACTTTCTTTTTTAAATCGAGAGTTGACAACAGACTTCCTACTTCTACATGTATAATGATGAAGAACGATACAATCTATCCAAACATATTACTCATTAAAAATGATACAATACAATATGATATATTATAAAGCGATATGTAACAACCTTTCAAACAAGAGTGTTAGGAAGATGCTATCTTGCCTTTCAATACATGTTCTTTTACTCCAGGAATATGGATTCCTATAAAGTAATCTCTCCAATTTATTTTTGACAAATCAATATCAAAGCTTTTTCTTTCTTCTTCAGACATATCTTCCATTAGTTTTTGCATGTTGCCATTGTGAAACCTTGCAAAACAATAAGCCAAAGAAAAAGAAAATTTACTCTTTTTCATCTTTTGTAAAATATGTGTACCTTCTTAATAGAGGTACGAAAAAACAAGTTTTATAAGTAACATTTAAAGTTCATTGGATCCGATCCATCCAATGGTGAATGTTCCAACCCCCATCCCTTGACCATCCAACCCACTACTTCGAACCCCTATTGATCACCACATGCACCATCACCCAGTGGTGGATCTAGGTTTTTAAAGTTATAGGTGTTTTCTTAGCTTGATAAAATAGAAGTACGCGTGTTAAGAGTGAAATTTGAACTCAAACTCAGCAATACTAAAACAACCTTAAGCACCCACCATGAGTCATTGAACCAATCAAACCATTTGTTCATTGGGTTCTCTATGTTAATTTGTACAAATATTTCTTAATTTCCACACAAATATTTCTTAATTTCCAGAGTCTGATATAAGGTTAATGGTGCCCGAGCACCCGGATGTGTCTATGTGGATCCGCCCTTGCCCACCCCCATAGTATTATATAAGATTATATATAAATGTACTTGGGATAATATATTTTTTTACATTTTGGTAATGGTAAAGTTTTTCCATATAAACTATATATAGATTAAAAATTCAAGTCATGGAAGTCGTTATACTAATGTTTGCTTTAAGATAGGTTATCTATATCACATGACTCCTTGAGGTGCAACTCTCCCTTGAACCCCATGTGAACGCAATATACTTTATGCACCAAACTGCCCTCTTAGTCTAGAATTAGTAAATAAATACAACATATAATAGTAAGGAGAAAGTGTCATACCTTCCTTTGTAAAATCCATATGGTTCATAAACCTTGCTAAAGTTCTTCAAATATTCCACCTTCCTTTTAAATAGCATTTGCATCTTTGAGTTTTCAACTTCATGACTTAACTCTCCTACTTCATCATGTTTCTTGAGCAATTCCTTTGAAATATAATTTGAATAATCTAACATGTTATCAAAATATTTCATCTTATTAACCTTCACTTGATCTCCTTTTGAGTTAACAAAAGGAAAAGAAGAGAAAAATTCATAGCTATAGTTCAAAAGTTGTGATGATGATAAAGGATTCACATATGATGATGCTACATGATACACATTTAGCTCTGGACTTTGCAAGTATCCATGTTTGGCAATAGCAGCCATTGTAGCATTTACAACCATATCAACTGGTACCTAAACCAAGTGAACAAACATAAGTTGACAGATAGTTTATGTGATGTCTTTTGACTGGTACAGAGTTTAAGAATGAAAGAAATACAATATGTGATTAAAACAAGTATAGTGTTGCTATAAATCATCTCATTAAGAATAAATTTTAGGTTCAAAGTGAAATTATTATAACTCCCTCTGTTCCATATTAGTTGTCCATTTTTTCCTTTACATTTCTATTAAGAAATCATAAATAAGAATAAATAAGAATGTGTAAAATATTTTTTTATTTATGATTTTTCTTAATGAACGTGTAAAAGATAAATGTGACAACTACTATAGGACTTAGGAAGAACATAAATTAGGACAAAAAGATTATTTATTATTTTATCATCATATTTTGACCCTTATTATGCAAAAATACATGTAGGGATCTAAAATGAGTGCAATCTTAAATGGCGGACCCACATAGAGTCCGCCGGGTGCTCGAGCACCCATTAACCTCGTTTCGGAATTTATATATCTATGTAGAAATTAAGAGGTGTTTGTATAAAATTAACATAGAGCACCCAATGAACAAATGATCTAAATGATCCATTGGCTCTTGGGTGGGTGCCTAAGGCTCTCTTTGTGTTGTTTAGCTTTGGTTCAAATCTCACTGTTAACAATCCTAGATCCACAACTAAATTATTAAGATTATTCTTAATATTAGGAATGACAACGGAGTGGGGAAGCGGAGCGGGGCAAATCCGCAAAGACTTCAACTCGTTCCGTCCACATAACATAATTTTATATTTTCAACCCGCCCCACATAAACCCTAAATGTACCTACCACATCAACAAGACAATTTGGATCAGCAAGAACACCAGGAAGGTCCCCTTTTCCATAGAAAACAATTGCAGGGTCGATTACCCTGTGAGAGAAAACAAGAAAAAAATTAAGAAAAATTGACTCTCGAAATCTGAACGATGCCGACAAAAGGAGTATAATATAAGATACCTTAATCCTTGTATCCATCCTGGAAAAGGTTGCTCATAACTACTTGTTATTGTGGAGGGACGAATAATTACTATTGGTATGTTTTCCCTCATGCTATCAATCACCATCTCACCAATGGCCTTTGTGAATGAATATGTATCATGCCATCCATATAACTTTGCCCTATTGTATAATTATATTTAAAATCATCTAGTATAATTCATTTAATTACACTGGAATATATGTATGTATATCATAACCATGATTAATCTTGTATTACTGTCTATATAGTTATATATGTTATTCAATCTGTCTGAATATGTGATATTTTTCTTTTATTCTTAAATTTTGTGTCCAGCCAAACACCATCACATAAAATGAGAGAGTACTGCTATTAGGGTTGTTTGGTAGGTGCATAAGAATAGGTACTAAATTTTAGTAGAATATTTTGTTGCAAATTTGATTATGGTGTAACGAATTGATGTATCTGTTAATACACTCTATTCAATATTATTCTTATTCATAACAAATCACGGGATAAACATTAATATGGTGTACTATTCATATTCTAATCTATCATATTCAATATTATTTCTATTCATTAATACAACAAATAAAGCAGTCGATAAAAAAATAAGTCATAATACACAAATATGTCTTTTAACAATTGGTCTCAACTGACATCTATAGCCTCTAACTTTGGGTGTTCACAAGTAGATGCTTAAACTTGTATAATATTGAACAAATATACACATTCATCTTACGTGGTGTCTTGCATGACAATTTTGTGTCGTATGTGGCGTCCTACGTGTATTATGCTACGTAGGATGTGTGTGTCTACTTGTTCAATTTTATACAAGTTAAAGTGTCCATTTGTGCACACCCAATGTTGAAGGGCATAGATACTAGCTAGTTGAAACCAAGTTGAAAGACATATTTATATATTATATATGCCAAAAAATAATGTTAGCATAACTAATCTAAGCATTACTCATATCGACATATATACTAATACACCCTAATCCCTATATTACTCCCTTTGTCATAATTCATATGACACACCTTTCTTTAAATAAACCCCAAAAAAATGATACATATCAATATTTAATGAAAATTTAACATTAGAATGTTCATTTTACCCTTATAATAAGTTATTTATAGTCACAAAAACATCTATGAATTATTTTAGGCCACATGTTTCAAAAGTGCAGTGTACCTCTCAGCTCCTAATTCTTTCATAATTTTCTTGAACTCATTATTTTTAATAGAATTCTTCAACTTTGAAACAAAGTCCAACTCATTGGCAGCATTGAGAGATGGAAACTTAGCAGATGGAGAATGTGATGTGAGTTTTTCCTTTGTTATGCTTTCTCCCATCATGAAAGGCTTCTCATATAGTAGACCTTCTCTTTCTCCATTGGCATATGCTTTAAAAGAAACAAATTGCATATAACAATGTCGTTATGTAAAAGACACTATAAAACATATAACATGAAAAATCGGTTTTAATTTTTTGACTTTTATAGATGATTGTTGTTATAAAGAGGTTTGACTTGTGAATTTGAATGCTTACCGGTAGAATAATGGATGAGGAGTTTCAAGTTCTTGCATTTATTGGCAAACTTCATGAGTTGGTATGAACCATTCACATGAGCATCAAGAGCTAAGTCATACCTAGACAATATTGATGAAGACACAATTAATTAAATATAAAAATAAAAGTGTACATGCTCTCTCTTTGAGTCTCTGGCAACTTTTAGATGAGATGGTCGTACTAACCTCAAGTCAAATGTGGTATTTGCTGCAGAGTCGATGATCAAATCAATTTCTTGAGAAATTTCTTGAGAAATAATACTATCCATACCAAGATTTGGCTCATGAGTATTTCCAACCACAGGAATCAATTTACTTCTTATGAATGACTCATAAGATTCCCCATTCATTTCTTTTAGACATTTGAATAATTTTGACTCTATTATCTGATGGAAAAGAAATACATAATTAGTGACTTAATTTGGAAATTAAATTGTTTTAGTATAAAAAGTTTATATGGAAGAGGAAATTAAATTGTTTTAATATAACATACTTCACTTGTTAATCTGTCAAATGCAGCTTCCTTATCCTTTGCCCTTATAAGGAGGTAGATCTTGTTTATTTTTGGTGTTGTTCTTAGCATCTTTTCAACCAAAACTGCAAAATATTGTTTTATTGTAAATGTTAGAGGATATAATTAAGTGATCAAATGTCTACTCTAAGTACGCATTTCAACGTGCATGGTATCATAGTAGGTAAAAAGTCATATGTTTGAGCCTCATCGCCAACGAAAAAGAATCAGTATCATACATAATAAGGAGATAAAAGTATGCTAGATCTCTCTAATATATATCTTAAACTTTTGGATATGATGATCACATACTTTAATAGAGTATGTGGCAATCATTCAAACATCAGAAAATTAAGTAAAGAGGTGTGTTCTCTCTAACGGCTTAAATTTTTAGACGACATGAAATGTGATCAACTTTAGGAAAAAAAATAAAGACAAAGACAAAAAATGATTTTTAGTTCATATATACAATCTTGCTTTGTGATCTTACTGTTACAACAAAGGAAGGGGTCAGATATGCTCCTCTATTATACCAAAAACATCAATTTTATCCTTTAATTTGTTATATTTTTCGATAAAAATACTCTTATCATTACTCAAATGACTTAAATATACCACTTCATCATTAGAATTATCCAATATGAACGTTCAATACCACATGACACTAATATTTTGATGAAGTGGAGTACCACGTGACAAAGGCGTATCTAAGGGGGGGGGG